GTTCCCCCTGTGGACATCCGTAAACGACGATCGGGATCTGGGCCTTGCTTCTTGTCTATAACCCATGGTGGACTGGTTTGGCCGGTAACAGGTTCCAGAAATTGTGTGACGCGGTTCAAGGTACTGTTTCGTTATGGCGACCTCGACGCCGGCGCGCCCTCGTNTGAGCTAGCGTCGCGTGCTGACCCCCAATCTTGGAACAAAAAGGGGCCTCCTCCGTTCTTATGCAGATTGTTTGTAGAATGTGATGAACAGGCAAAGTCACGTCGTGGAGGGCGCTATGGTGCACTGATGTATCAGAGTGGCAGGTCAACACACGTTCTCCAGGCGGATGCTCGGCAGTTGGAATGGTTCCATTTCGAGGCAGCATTTAACTGGCAGACTCACATGCTCGACCTGTCAGCCAATGGTAGTTTCTGGCGACTTCCTTTCTCCGCGTATCCGCTATCATCCGTCTACATTCGCAACGTTCGTGGCGCTGGAACGTCGTCTGCTGCCTCAGACTTTGGAGACATAGAGGTAGACTACTGTCGGATGTCAGACCAATGGGATAAGTTCAACGAGCTTGGCGAAGTCCTCCCATACTCGTGGTACAGTGCGCGGATGCTCTACCCCTATGACCCTGCCCCTCGCGACGCGATGCGGCCTACCTTGTAACACGTCGATGTCACGTCGGTAGGGGGGCAGCCGCCAGGGGCCTTAGGGGAAAGTGGCTGAGCATCGCCGCCATTCTCATCCCCGTCGGCCGCGTTTGCTTGCAGCAGCCTGCAGAAGGGAAGAGAGGAAAAGCAGCAGAAACCACCATCCTCCCGGAGCGAAAAGCAGAAACAAAAGCAGCAGACAGGAAAGCTGCAAAAGCAAACTTCCTCCTTGAGTGTGATCATCGTCGTCCTCGATCACCCTCCTCAGCTTCCTGAGCACTGGCACAGCCACCATCTTCCCCCTTGAGTGTGATCATCATTCTCCTCAGCCTGTTGAGGAAGGTTGAGTGTGATCATCCTCCTCCTCAACTTCCTGAGCAGGAAAGCCACCAGCTTCCTCCAGGGTTGAGTGTGATCATCATACTCCTCAGCTTCCTGAGCACAGCCACCAGCTTCCTCCAAGGTTGAGTATGATCATCATCCTCCTCAGCTTCCTCAGGCTGAGCAGGAAAGCCACCAGCTTCCTCCAAGGTTGAGTATGATCATCATACTCCTCAGCTTCCTGAACACAGCCACCATCTTCCTCCCTTGAGTGTGATCATCATCCTCCTCAGCTTCCTGAGCAGCAAAGCCACCAGCTTCCTCCAAGGTTGAGTATGATCATCATCCTCCTCAGCTTCCTGAACACAGCCACCATCTTCCTCCCTTGAGTGTGATCATCATCCTCCTCAGCCTGTTGAGGAAGGTTGAGTGTGATCATCATCCTCCTCAGCTTCCTGAGCACAGCCACCATCTTCCTCCCTTGAGTGTGATCATCATCCTCCTCAGCTTCCTGAGCAGGAAAGCCACCAGCTTCCTCCAAGGTTGAGTATGATCATCATACTCCTCAGCTTCCTGAACACAGCCACCATCTTCCTCCCTTGAGTGTGATCATCATCCTCCTCAGCCTGTTGAGGAAGGTTGAGTGTGATCATCATCCTCCTCAGCTTCCTGAGCACAGCCA